AGGTAAAGAGGGAGAAAATGGGGGAGGAGTGAAGGTAAAGAGGATGGAAAAGAGGGAGGAGTGAAGGTAAAGAGGGAGAAAAGAGGGAGGAGTGAAGGTAAAGAGGATGGAAAAGAGGGAGGAGTGAAGGTAAAGAGGGAGAAAATGGGGGAGGAGTGAAGGTAAAGAGGATGGAAAAGAGGGAGGAGTGAAGGTAAAGAGGGAGAAAAGAGGGAGGAGTGAAGGTAAAGAGGATGGAAAAGAGGGAGGAGTGAAGGTAAAGAGGGAGAAAATGGGGGAGGAGTGAAGGTAAAGAGGATGGAAAAGAGGGAGGAGTGAAGGTAAAGAGGGAGAAAATGGGGAGGAGTGAAGGTAAAGAGGATGGAAAAGAGGGAGGAGTGAAGGTAAAGAGGTTGAAAAGAGGGAGGAGTGAAGGTAAAGAGGGAGGAGTGAAGGTAAAGGAGGAGGTAGAGATTTTGATGGGTGGATGGAGGAAATATCGAGGATGGTTGTGCACTGAGAATCATTCCCACCTCCAAGTTAATTGATTTTTCATTGTTCTTTTTTTTTTTTTTTATGTTTTTGAATTTCTGTCATTAACTGCAATGTGTACTTTCAACACAATGTGTTCAAGACTGTTAATATTAAAGAGTCATTTAATTGGAGTGTGTGTCACTCGAGTCCCCAAAGAGTCATTTAATCGGAGTGTGTGTGTCTCTCAAGTCCCCAAAGAGTCATTTACTTGGAGTGTGTGTCTCTCAAGTCCCGAAAGAGTCATTTAATCGGAGTGTGTGTGTCTCTCAAGTCCCCAAAGAGTCATTTAATCGGAGTGTGTGTGTCTCTCAAGTCCCCAAAGAGTCATTTAATCGGAGTGTGTGTGTGTGTGTGTGTGTCTCTCAAGTCCCCAAAGAGTCATTTAATCGGAGTGTGTGTGTCTCTCAAGTCCCCAAAGAATCATTTAATCAGAGTGTGTGTGTGTGTCTCTCAAGTCCCCAAAGAGTCATTTAATCGGAGTGTGTGTGTGTGTCTCTCAAGTCCCCAAAGAGTCATTTAATCGGAGTGTGTGTGTCTCTCAAGTCCCCAAAGAGTCATTTAATCGGAGTGTGTGTGTGTCTCTCAAGTCCCCAAAGAGTCATTTAATCGGAGTGTGTGTGTCTCTCAAGTCCCCAAAGAGTCATTTAATCGGAGTGTGTGTGTGTCTCTCAAGTCCCCAAAGAATCATTTAATCGGAGTGTGTGTGTCTCTCAAGTCCCCAAAGAGTCATTTAATCGGAGTGTGTGTGTCTCTCAAGTCCCCAAAGAGTCATTTAATCGGAGTGTGTGTGTCTCTCAAGTCCCCAAAGAGTCATTTAATCGGAGTGTGTGTGTGTCTATCAAGTCCCCAAAGAGTCATTTAATTGAAGTGTGTGTTTTTTTTGTTTGTTTTTTGGACAATTACTACACTTTACAGAAGAACATGACTAATGTGTTAAAGCCCCAGTGAGTTAGCCTGGCTCCGCCCTCCTACGCACTTCCGCTCAATTTTATTTTCCTTCAGTACTACGTCTGGGATTGTGCTGTAGACTTTGGTTTCCAGAAATAATTTTTTTACCGGTCCAATCAGCGAACAGAGGGAGTGGCTGAGAACGATGACGTTGATGTAGCGCGTCAGTTTGAGTTGGAGTTCAGTAATGGCAGCGGAGAAAGACGTGAGAAAATCTATTCGGTCCGTTGTTGCAAAACTGCCGAATATCCAGAAGTTAAAGCCGGAGCAAGATCAATGTTTGCTAAGTGTTGTTGGTGGCCATGATGTTGTGGCCCTCCTCCCCAAGGGGTTCGGGAAAAGTTTAATTTTCCAGCTCACTCCGCTAGTGGTGAATGAGTTAGCTAAGGCGAACGATAGGATGCAAAGCCGATAGTTGTTGTCGTCTCCTCTTGTTGCACTAATGGAGGACCAAGTGAGGGAGGCAGAAAGGTTAGGAGTTGGTGCTGGGCAGCTCGGCGTGCACGATGATCACTGTACAGCATTTGCGGCAGATCCGAAACGACCGCAGCGGCGTATTGTTAATGATTACACCCAGCTTCGACAGTTGACTGAATACATCACTGTCCTTAGTGTCAAATAAACATTTAGAATTTAGAATTGTTCCTTGAACTCTTAAATTCGATGAACAAAACATGCAGCTCTCGTTGACAGACATCTTATTCTAAACATAATCCTCTGATCATTCGGACTTGTTTTTTTATTGCTTAAAACAATACACAAGTAATAACAGAAAACATAATACAAAAACAAACAAAAAATAATAATAAAAACAAAACAAAAATAAAACAGTAGGAGGATAATATAAAATAAACATGAACAAGTTAAGAGAATTACATGACACTGAAAAAGGAAAATAATTACAAACAGTTAATGTTTTTAAGGCTTTTTTTGTTCTCAGACAACTTAATTGAAAAGAGGTATTTTTAAAATTCTTTCACAAATATAAGAAAGAGAGGTTTAGCATTTAGATATTTAGATTTATGAATATGGAATTCGGACTTGTTGTTTCCAGCCGGTTACGGCGCATGACATACGTCACGACCACACGTTAGCGATTGGCTATGGCAGATCCTGAGTGACGCTGGGCAGATCCAATAGTTTTGAACTTTAACAGAGAACCCGCCTACAAGGAAGTAAACGTTTCTCAATGGAGCGAGGCCAGACTCTCTGTACAAATGAAATGTACGAGAGTCTGGTAGAACCAGGCTACCAGTGAGTAGCCAAAGACTCAAGATGTTTTTGTGATAATGATTATTTTGCAGTCGATGCTAAATTAACTAGAGGGATGCAGGCCGTGGTCTTAGAAAAACTATTTAGGCTATATATATATATATTAGTTTGCGTGCCGTGTGCTCGGCTGCTTGCTGTGTTGTGATCGTAATTATACGATCACGCGAGAGAGAAAGTAGATGTGTGCAGTTTCAGCCGTCCTCCTCTGATTGTGATGTGATCGAAATAACAAACAAAACAATTTTGTAAAATGATATATGAATCATTTTTATTTTATCATATATCATTTTACAAAACTTTTTTGTGCATGTGCTCCCGCACACACAATTTCAGTCACAACACGCAGTCAGAGGATGCGCTGAAACATCAGCTCGCGATGCTGTTCCCTTCATTCATAACTCGGACTGAGAAGGATAGGCTATATTTGTGTAAATAGTTGTGCAACTGCGCAAACTTTATGAAGTTTAATGTTTGGGTTCCAGGGGAATTTATGACTGTTTCACCTTTTCAACCTCATCAAAGTTTCGTAATTAGTAAGTTCTGTGCTTTTTCTCTTTTTTTTCTTGTGTGCTGACTGATGAGGGGCCGATGTGCCTTGGTGAAACGGTGTTTGTACATGTAGCTTATTTTTTTAATTATCGTGGCAAGCAATCATAAAATACAGCATATTGCACAAAAAAAAAGCAATTTACTGAGAAACGGACCTCGGGTTTGGGTCGGGCTCAGGCTTAAAATATAACCGTAATGTTCGGGTCAGGTTAAATGATTTCGGGTACGGGCCGGGTTTGGGCTTAAGTTTAAAGCCTGTGCTGACCTCTACTTCAGGCACATAACTTGTAAAATTTCAGCAATTATTAAATGACTTCTGTAGAGCTGTTTTACAGTTGAAATAGAATTGAGCTGAATAATGACACTATTGTCTTCAGTTCCATCTTTGGTTCTCTCTGATAGTCAATCAATCAAATACAGTCAAATGAATAATATTTCTGAATGTTAATTGTCATTCCCCAACTGAGCAGTGAAGGACACTTCATCTCAAGCTACAAATCAGACAAAAATGTTGGCTACCCATTTTCTGTGATCTTGACGAAATAAAAATAAAAATAAAAAACTGTTTACTCACTAAATATATACCATCTCAACAAAGTCCTGATATTATACCTTTACCAGAATCTGTGTATCACCATGGTCCTCAAAGTATGACTTAACCAGAGTCTGTGTATCACCATGGTCCTCAAAGTATGACTTGATCAGAGTTTGTGTTTAATGTCCCCAAAATGGACATAAAAAATACTGTCCCTAAAGTGAAGGCAAAATGTCAGGTCTTTAAGGAAGACTTTTATTAATAAAATCAAGTGATAAGTGTGATGACAGCTTCTCCAGAAGTGCAGTCATGTCTTTCTTTTGTCTCTAGACCCTTCAGAAAGGGGTGTCCCTAAAGGTAGGGTTCCCAGTCATACGTCCTCACATTGTGGTTAAGTAGGTATGTGTGTGTGTGTGTGTGTGTGTGTATAAATAACAAATATGGGAAATGAAACTAGACAGATGTCTAAATTCTAAACCAAAAACAGAGTTTGGTTATCTAGTAACAAAAGAACCAATCAAATAAGTAATGTTTCATGTCATTTTTGCCATACCTCCTTATTCTATAAAACTGTTGTATTTGTGTTTTACTGGTGGGATTCTCAATGGGATTTGTCTGAGATCCTCCATGCTTAATGCTTCTTCTTGGGGGAAGTTCTCTGAGGAAATGTCGAGAACTCCCGGCCGTGATTAAAGCATTTAGAGGACATTTGCTGAAGTCTGTTTGTCGATTATTCCTGCACAGGAAGTAAGCTAGTAAGTGGAACAAGTTATAGCGAAACAAATACTCACAACACAACTAAATACCGAAACACAGTAAATACTCACAACACAACCAAATACAGAAATGCGCTGCAAATACTTACAATTGACGAACCTGGCTGGGACATGCTTATTGTTCAGTGTCTACTCGTCAGTGATGTTGTCGATGACCTGAAAGGTGATTATTTTAACATCCTGATCCTATGTGCATTGAAAGTATTTGCAGCGCGTTTCTGTATTTTGTTGCGTTGTGAGTATTTGCAGCACATGTGTTGTCACCGATGAAGATGTTTTCTTTATTTGCTGGTGTTTTTCCATTTGCATGTTTTTTCTTCAGTTGCAGCGCGTTGAGCTCTCTTGGCCACCGTATGTAGCTTATCCTTAACAAGTACGGAGTAAAGTCTGGCTCTGTCTCTACACAGGTGACCTGTGACATCTCTTTTGGAAGGCTATCCTCTGAATGTTCTTCAATCAAACCACTTGAACCGAAGGAGGATTAACAACCACCGCAGACATCTTTTTTTATTTAGTTCTGCTATGCCTATTTATGAACATTTCCTCAATTCTCAATTCTACAAACATGAACCTGAGAAAAGACCATTTTTGGTTACTTTAAACTTTTGACCTTTGATTTAGAGTTTCAGTTCATAATTGATACAAAAACTAAGAGATAGAAATTCTGGTGTTACATGAAGAAACAAATCCAGATTCCTTGTAAAACAATAGCACAGGTCTCAGAGTGATTTATATCATTGTGAAAGTCACAGAAAGGATGTGAATTCTTCTATTATTATTCTATTTCCAAACTGTCAGTCTCTCTATAGACTGACAGTTTGGTCTATCTAGGTGATACTGGGGACGTTCACCTGAAGCTCAGATGTTTATCTCAAAATTGGGAAGTATGAATCAAGCAGAGTAGCTTGATTATAATTTTATCTCTAATTTGATACACTCTTTTCCAGTTACAGGTGCCGAGGATAAACCAGACTTCCTCACTGACTGTTGCCCTTGTACACTGTTATTTTAAAACGACCCTCATTTAGTCAGAACCACCTGCACCCACAGCTCCCTAATAAAAAATCTGGGAATGACTTGAATTTCCATCAGCCCTTTAACCTGACAGGGCATCTGTTGAATGATGGTATGTGGCGGCTCTAATTACACCATGAAAAGTTTTTGTACATTATGGTCTTCCGAATATTGGTGTAACGGAAAAATCTTTATTGCTTGAGCCTGTTCATTAAGAAAGAGGCTGTCAGTCCTCTCGGATAACTCCTCCTGGTGGACAAAAGTGTGTGCTGCAAGATTGGCCATCATTCCTATGAAGACCATGCTTGTCCTTTATTGTTTAGGATAAACAATTTTCAGAACAGACTGAATACCTAGATGTATATGCAGCATAGTGACTACATGAGGGCAATGGGAATAAAAAGAGAGGTCAGATCGGTTTTATGTATTTCTTTTCCAAAAAACAGGAACTTCATCTTAGTTGTACTGTCTTCAACCATTTGAAACTGCTGATATGATGAAAGCATATGAATGGCACCTGACTCATTATTTGATCAATCATTAACCGTTGCTGCTTTTACTATTATTTGTTTGTTAAAAACAAACATAGAGAAGCAAACCAGAACTTTTTTTTTTTTGCCTTAGATTCAAGATGATCAGGAATTCAGTTTTGCATGTTGTATTGTGAAATCGACATAAAAAAAATGCCAGGAGAAAATGACTGAAACAACGTTTACAGCATTATTTTTGCACATTTTAATAAAGCCATCTCATGTTAACACAATTTTGTGTTTTCCCAACTATATTATGATGAGTAAGCCTAAAAAAACACAGCAAGAGATTAATTTCTCTGTGTATTTATGTACAGTTTTATTACAAATGGGTTAGAATCAATCCTTGACGTATGACACAAAAACCCTATAAAAATGAAGAAAAAAAGTGTTGTGTTTCTTTGGTTATTAATAAATGAGAGCTTGCTTAATATTCTCTCAATTAGTGAGCATTATTTTAGTAGTCACATCCACTCAACTTATGAAAAATCTATGTACGCTGATTTACCAAATCTACCAAATTATACCAATGTTCACATTACATTACATGACACATAAATCTTATCATTGAGGCTAAAGTGTCACTATTTACCATATTATGGATAAGTCTTCAGTCTAAAACATTTTTTTTTAAAAAATTCTGATCCACCACCGTTGCTAACATAATAATACAAACATTGTATGTAGAAAAATCATTTAGGGCCAAAAAAAAAAATGCAGTTGATTTGCAAAACAGAGTGTGTCTCATTTACAAACAATTCTTAGAGAGACAGATTGTGAGATTTTTCTACTGCGTTTAGAAAGTTTAGAGTTTTTAAGCATATGCCACAACAGTGCAGACGGCCTTGCAAACATCTGTCCACAGCTACAGTCAAAAGCCGCCTTGCATTTCTTTTTCGCTTGCTTGCCTTTTTTATGCTTCCGTTTGTGCCAGGTCAATTTATGCGCCCCTTCGAACGTATTTCCACACCGTGCACAAACAAATCGGACCGACTCCGCGTGCTGGACCTGGTGCCTCAGCAAATGCAGCTGTTGCTGGAACGACCTTCCGCACTGACATCTGTACAACCTTGATCCGCGATGTAAGTAGCGATGACGCACCCTCAGCGATGGTTGTCTCGAGACGGCACCGCAGTGACGGCAGGGGAAGATGGTCTTGGAGCGCCAGCTCTCCTCGCGTCGCTTCTGAAGAGCCAAATCCCTGCTTTGATTCATAAACATGGCCACTACTTTTAACGGAGCCTGAACCTGGGCAGGAGGAATCTGAGGATGGTTGTTCCCGGTAAGAGCACTCACCAGGGTGGGAAAGGTGACTGAGGTCATCGGCAGGACATTTACAGGTAGAGGTCTAATATTAGCCACTGATTTTTGTCTCAGAACAGGTTTGTTGGATGACACAAAAGTGGGTGAAGAGACGTTCACAGTGGGTGAGAAGGATACGATGACTGAAGTTGGAAGAGGTGGATTGGAAAGGGTAGGGATACGAAGAGTCATCCTGGCCGGATTTGACAGCAAGGGACGCACTACAGAAGGTGTATGGACAGGAACTTTCGGGCGAGCAACACAAGAACTTGGAAGGAAATTGGGCCTAACAAGAGTTTGTGGCATAGCCACAACTTGTGGAACCAAATTGGTCACCTTAGCAGTGCCCAGGGGAGTTGTTTGAAGCAGGTGTTGCAGCGTCAGAACTTTGGTTGATCCCAATGTGGCCACCGCAGGTGGAGGATCAGGAGCTGTTGAAACTTTGTTCGCTGTCGGAGTTATTTGGATAAATTTAATGGTATTCTGATTGGAATACAAAGTAGGGGCAGATGGTCTTCCCTGACCGCTGCTATTAGATAAAGGCACTATGGGTAAATGGGATACCGAGGTGGCCGGCAAGTTCGTCTCTCCTGTAGGTCTTTTCCTACAGATGTGATTTTTGAAATTGTCCAGTCTAGGGAAAACATTGTGGCAGAACGCACAGATATACCCAGCTGCTGGGTGTTTTGCGATCATGTGCTTCATCAGCAGCTCTTCAGTCTCACATGCCACACTGCACAGACAACAAGCAAACATCAGCTTGTTCCTGCAATCATCCATGTGCTTCTCCAAATTAGCGAATTTGCCATAGCAGCAAAAAGGAGAATCAGACTGAACCCCAAATTTCTCTGCAATGTTGATTGACTCTAGATTTATATTTGCAGATCTTTTCCTGTTGGGCACCTGTTGCTTCCCTCTCTTTGTCTTTTGGTGATGCCTGTAGGAGATGCATTTTGAGTTAATGTCATCGGAATCTGAGCTGAGGTCCTCGTCTGGGTTGTACGCTGTGTCACCAGGGGGGAGAGAATCAGGGTTTGCCTCGTCATCAGTGTCAGTACCTTCTTGATCTTCTGCCAGGCAAATTTCCTCCTCTGCAGCCACCTCGTAAACTGCAGTTTCTCTAAGCCCATCCTCATTGTCATTCTCTTCCTTCACCCTAAAACTAAGATGCTTTGGCTCTGATTGGTTCAAGGGGAATGAGGAAAAGCTAAAGGTATCAATTGGTTCATCTTTAATAAGAGGCAATCTTTCAGTTTCTGTTTTGATGTGTGAGGCTTGATTTGTGGAGTTTGTATTATTGTCAATGCGTTTCTGGATGTCACTGCAAGTGTCATTCGTAGCTGCGTGTTCTGAGACACAATATGAATGATCCCTCAAGATTGTTCTTTTCAAATCAATGCAGCTTATGGTCTCTTTGATGCTAATTTCTTCTTTCTCTTCCATTTTAACCACAGCTTTTACCTCCATTGCGGCTTTCCGGTGCTTTCCCATATGTCCGTTTAGATGCCATGTGCAACTAAAGACTGATCCGCAGATTTCACACAAGAGACTGTGCTTTGGGTGGGCATTTTTTAAGTGCAACGCCAGCGAGATTACACGTCCAAACTTTGCTCGACACAGGTGACAATGCACCTCGACTGTGTGCGTCTTAAAGTGCTCTATCATGTTACCCAGGAAGGGGATGCTGTCTCCACAAACACAGCACATAGAGCTTTCCTCATTTGTAACTGCCAGTGGTGCTATGTAGTCGTCCTCATCACTGGAGTCGTCTGAGAAGCCGTAATATGTAGAGATGATGGTTTTGTAATACTCCTAAAAACAAAGAAAACAATTCAGAGAAAACTAGTAGTTTCTGCATTGTGCATTTAATAAAAGAGCAGAAAACAGGGTGGACAGGGTCTCATGCTTTCACTTTAGCGCAAGTTTTTTGGATGGCCATGAGATGGAGTAAGAGATGAACATCAAAAATACAGAAAAATATTAAGGTGTGCTTGCATTCATCATTTAAAATATGTTTTCTATTTTAATAAATATTTTAAAATGTAATTTATTCTTGTGATGGCAAATCTGAATTTTCAGCATCATCAATCCAGTCTTCAGTGTCACATGATCCTTCAGAAATCATTCTAATATGCTGATTTGATTGCTGCTCAAGAAAAATATCTTATTATCATCAATGTTGAAAACAGCTGTACGGCTTAATAACCATGCTACCTTTTTAAGGCTTCTTTGATGAATACAAAATTTAAAAGAACAGCATTTATTTGAAATAGAAATCTTTTGTTAACAATGTTAAAGTCTTTTTCTTTGACTTAATGCAAAGTTTCTGAATAAAAGTATTAATAAAAATAAAAAATCTTACTGAGCCCAAACTTTTGAACGGTACTGTCTATATCAGCAGCAACATTTGTATTTCTTGTCAACTAATTTTCCTAGTGAAAATGATACTTATGTAACAGAATACAGAATAGACCGGTTTTCGTGATCTAAACATTTAGCTTAAGGGCACAATGGCACTTGTGCAAGACTGGAACTACAGCAACTAGTTTTGACTGTGCATTCCACTAGAAGTTTTAGAACAGATGCCTAAAAGTAATACTTATGTCATACCACTACCAAAGAAACCGATCTAAAACCTGCTTCAGAACAAGCCGCGTAAATGTCAGGCCTATTTCTCATACTTTATTGCTCATGTGCGTGACTGCGATGGTCAACAGATGGAAAGCATCTAATTCGGAACGTTTCTGCCCTAATCCAGAATGTGTTTATTTCACAGTAAATTCACGAGTCTTGAGATGTTTTCACGTGTAGGGGGAATTATTTGCACGACTTACAGACTGTTGAGTGCAAGTGTCACCATCTTGCTCCATAGGTATTTTGGCACCAGTAACACGCTCCACCTCCTCACATGGTAAGATTTCCATGCCAACTCTTATGCAGCTACTTTATGCTGAAAAAGGAAGAAAACATATAGGTAACCAGCACACAAAAAGGTCTAACATTATTACAATCTAAATATTACACATAAACCTGCATTGGCGTACCTTACAGTATATCAGCGACCTACAATACAATAAAACGTTTCCTTCGATATAAAATCAGTTTGAATCTTGTTCCAGGAACTTTTGAGGGTGTGGTCTGTGTTTGTGCACTTATAGGTTTTTATTTATTTTTCTGTCAACTGATGACAATGACTTTATGTCACGGCGGATATCACACTTTATTAATTGATAACATCTCTTATCCTGTATAAGCAAACAGACATTTAAAAGAACACGATGTAAGTTAGTGGCAGACCTTTCATTGTAGTATATTTCTCACATATTTTATAGTATGTAAAATGAGTTGAAAACGGGAGTCTTCCTTACCAATGCGACTGCGTATACTTACAATAACGATTTCATTAATAATTTTCGTGTTTGGGTTCTGGCTCCTCCCCCAGACAATGTACGCACGCGCGAGTCCGTCTCCTAAATTCGTCCGGACAACAAGTTTATGTATTGCGCATGCCCAGCATTTCTTTCTTTTTTTTCAGATAGCTTCCTGATTACAGGTGTCTTTTATACATGTATATCTGAACTGATGTTATGTTGCTAAAATATTTAATAAACAAACAATACGTTCAAATAAATTTGTCCTATATATTGTAAATATAATACACAGGATTATACAGTATTGATTGAATGTTATCTTGTAATTATGATAGTTTTGAGTAATAATATCTGATAAACAATTAATGAGGATTTAGCAATTTTCCCAAAAAATAGTAGGTGCAAATGGAATATTGTTTGATGACTGATTTAATTTATTTTATTAATTTAATTTAACTACCTAGAAATTAAAGATGAAACAAATAACATTTTTTAATTCCGATCTTATGAAACATTTATACAGAAAAATCATGCTGCAATTGCATCTAAGTTACAAGTTTTTATTCAAACACAGATTTCTGAAAAGTGTGCTGTATCATACTGTTTTATTTACATCAGCTGAATAAAATATATAAAAAAAAAAATCACAAGCCTCTTCACATATTTACTACATAAAGAAAATGTTTTACAACACTGACTTTTTGCACGTCATCTCCTGCAATAACAATGAGTTTAGCACATGACTGAATGGTGCTTGTCTGGCACCTGCTAGTTTTCGTAAAATAAACAACTCAGAATACAACTCCTCCCAAACTGCAAAGCACTCCACTGTTGTGATCCAGGCCTCACAAAAGACGCTGGTAAAACCTCATTTAGGGCTACTGCACCAATTCTCTTTGAGAACTGCCTCCTGTCTGAAATCATCTGAGAAGAGGCCCAGTCCTCTTTAACAATGATCTCACAGGTTTCTTGACACCATCATGACTATGACAGCAGCCGGCTATACTCAGAGAGTGCAGATGACTTCTTAACTCCATCCCAAATTCTAGCTGCATAGTGAAACCTGTAAAAACACATGTGGATTAATGGATTAATATAAGTGGATTAATATAAAAATCAGTGGATTAATATAAAAATCCACTGTCTTGATATGAATTCAGATGTACGCATAAATGGAAATACTATTGTTTGATATTTTCTTAATTGAAATATTTCATTCAAAATGATGTATAAAATGTACATTTAAATATAGAATACAGTTCCAAAAGGAAGAACAGAAGCATTACCAGTTTTTCTCAGTAAGGATTGTGTGTGAGAGCTGACTGCGGGACATAGCCAGGATCTGACTGCGGAATTTAGAAACCAGTGAAGAAAAGCTGGGATGACCTCTGTAACCAGGCAGCAGAGAGAAAAGAGGGGGGCCTGAACCTGGTGCACAAAATGTACAGACCAAATGCAAAGGAAGTTAGCAAGTTCATCAAGGACAGTGGAGAATCATGAAAAAGCATGCTTGCTATAAATGAAAATATCTATCCATTATAGTGTTCATGAGAAAGATATAGAAAACTGTTGTGTCATTTTAAAGGCCTACTTGCATGAGATCTCTGACAATACGAGCTATTTAAAGTACACCGGCTAGTGTAGTGTAGTGTATACAAACTATATAAAGTACATTTTCCTGGTAGCATTCGCACAGCCAGTAGGAACTCTGAAGTGACGTAAACCGGCAGACAGTGACATCGTTTAAGCGTGGCATTCAACAACGCCAACAACTCCGTATCGGTTGAGAAATGCCTGGACTTCACCGTCGGTCCATCTATGTTTTCCATGTTCGTGGGGTTAGTTTGTGGAGTAAGTACAGTATGTTTACACAAGTTTTTAAAAACGGCGGGTACCGGTGTCTCGTATGGCATGTGTTCAGCTATCCTATTGTGCTGGGTTAGACCCTACTCTGAAGGAGGAGCTAATTTAGTCCCCTCAAAAGGAGTTTCTTTTACTAAAATTATTCCCAGTTCCTGCATGCCAAAAGTGTGTTCTTCCGCTAATAGTTATTAGTAACTATGAAAAACTTTTATCGAGTGTAAAAGTTTTATAAGTAATTAAACATCTAATTGATTATTTTCTGTAATAAAAAATGGTACTATATTTTTTAATAAAAATGTTATTATTTATTATAAATGTTATCAAAAACAAAGCAATGAGCAGCAGTATTTAGCACTAAAAATTGATTTCACTAAAAAGACTTTCACTTGACTTTCGGGAACACTTTTGGTTATGACACATAAAAAAGGTTTCTTTGGGCTTGTTTCTTGAAATGATGCTACACTTCTGATATTATTTAGCTTAACATTTAGCTAAACAACAAATCTTTTCTGACCTGCTCTTGTCAAAGCATCTTCCCCATCATTCTCCATCATAGGTAAGAGGAAAAGATTGACTTCTGCCTCCAAGTAATCTCGACTCAGTCCAGGGAATATGTTACAATCCATCATGGATAACGTGCCTTCAACAGGAAGCAAAAAAAAAAGGTCAATCAGCTAAACACCAAATCACCAATCACGTGGTGTTAATGAATGTGTTTACTGTCACGTAAAGGGAACTGACCTTTATATTTTAAGTGGGAATGGGCCATAAGCTTGTCAACTGCCATATGCATCTTCTTCAGGTTTCTTGGACAGAACTCCTCCCTCCTCGCTTTGTTCTGCAAGAAAACTATGAAAATAGAAAGAAAAGTCATGAGTTAAACCCTTATACACAACTAAATCTGTGAGCATTTGCCAGCAGCTTCATACAGTATTATGAATATTAAAGTAAAATTTATTATAGCCCATATTACAGAACATTTATAGTTTTCTTACCTATGTGGGGGTAATACTCAGAGCCATCATCTGCCCCTGAGGAGCCGGTGCTGTCATGACTGGCAGATGGAGTCGAGGGTTTCAGCATCTCAGCAGTCTGCAGAAACCTGGTAACGGACACGGCTGTTAGTTTTATGCAACATAGAGTCTCCAGACTCCAGGAGACGGAGTGATGAAGAAAATATATAATGTATGGGGATAAATAGGAGGCCATGATGGGAGACAGAGGCCAGAGGGCAAATTTGGCCATGATGCCGGGGTTACACCCCTATTTTTTGTGTGTGTGTGTGTGTGTGTGTGTGTGTGTGTGTGTGTGTGTGTGTGTGTGTGTGTGTGTGTATAAATATATTGTATGTATGTGTGTGTGCACAAGTGTATATGCATACTACTGTTCAATAATTTAGTATTTAAAGTATTACAAATGTAATACTTTTTTCAGCTAGGACACATTGAATGAACCAAAAGTGACAGTAAAGAAATGTATAGTCTTACAACATCTTTTTCAAATAAATGCTGTTTTTTGAAGTTTCTATTAATCAAAGAATAGTTAAAAATGTACATTTTAAAATATATACAAATATAAGTTATTTTAAATTGTAATAATGTAAAATATTACAGTTTTTTAGTGTTTTAGTGTATTTTTGACAAATTAAATACCTTGAGAGACTCAAAAAAACATTTTGAACGGTAGTGTATATACAGTATATAAAACTAATTGTTCAAATTGTGTTAAATTATTTCCATGTCATTTTAATAAGCATACGTGCGATGAAGTTATTAGCATACCTATATAAGTTGATATCAGTGAACCAGTCCTGAATCACAATCACAACATGACATACGGTAAAGAGGAAGGCAGTGATCTGCAGAGACTAAACCAAACAGTTGGAAATGGGGGGGGGGGGGGGGGGGGGGGGGGGGGGGGGAGAATTTCAGTTTACTTTCAGATTTTTTTTCAACATGGTACATGACATATAATCTATAGAATACTATTTGTAAAAGTCTGACATCATTAATAATATTAAAACATGGCATACTGTAGTAATTATTAATATATATGTTATATTATTGTACAAAATTATTTGTAAAATGGTACATAACATATAGTGTCCTTCAACAACTCACCTGCATCTCCACATACGTGTGTGGGAGGTTGTATTCGGGCGGAAGCTTGCGGTCATTGTTAATCAGATGATCCAAAATAGAAGGGCTCAAAATTGGCTGAAGATGACAAAAAGCATTATTTTATCAAGTAGCTGCCTACATTCTGAAAACAGCACTGTTCTGTGTGACTCTACAGTCTGACCTGCGTGTCCAGAAAGATGACCCTCTCCTGAGTGATGTAGAAATCGATTCCACTGCTCTGGTTCCCAGCTCTCTCCTTGATCTCCTGCGTCTGAGCTCTGAATACACACGCCCTGTTTAACAGAGAATCGAGGGGTGAAACCCAATAACAACAATGAAGTGGAATACAAAGCGAATAAATTGGTAAGAAATACAGAATCATGATGTTGATGAAGGACTAACCTCTGGTCCTCCTCAGGGCTGTTTGCAGACAGGAGAGACATGATTGTGGACTTGCCAGTGCCTTGTAGCCCAATAACTCCAACTACTAACATATCCGTCTGATCTCGCAGATACTGAGATACACAGTAAACACACATTCAGCATACATTCACCCGACTATTATGCACAAGATACAAACCACAACATTATTCATTTATTAACAGAATACACATGCCCTTGCCTCCATAGCGCTGTCACACCAATTCATTTGGTCATCCACCAGCTTAATGCTGTGCTTCATCTTCTCAGGGGGGAGGAGCTTAGTCTGGCTAATCACAGCTGAAAATCACAGATTAGTTTATCACAGAAAAAATCAAAAACTAAAACAGACACATAATAACAGTTTAAGCTTACATGTGTAAACATCTGAATTGAAACCACCACTGTTATTATAAAGAGAGTTAAAGTCCCCATGAAATCTAAAAAGACAAATCTTAGTTTTTATGGAATATTGCAGTATTTATTATGATTTATCTGATCTCATGTGAGCAACAGGTTGTCCCACTCTTGGTGAAAAAATTCCATCAAAAACAAGAAGTCACCCAAAGCTATAAATCTACTGGAACAGTGTTTTTTCTGATATTTTCGAGACTAATGCAAAAGCCTATTGATTTAGATGCCTTGATGGCTGGTCTAGGACTTGTAGACTCTAATACAGCTAAAAACAGTGCAGAACATGGTATATTTCATTCGTCAATCTACTACTTAGATCTGAAAAAGAAAGAAGTTTATTTTCTTCACAGATAAACAGGATATATATCGCATAACCTGTATTATCGGATCTCAAGTAATACCAACCAGAGATGGAGACAGAAGTTCAAATGATTGAGCCTGCAATGTAAAATGCCTTCTGATAGATTTTGGAATAATCAGGTCAAGCATATGTAAATTCAGCCGTTTATGTTGAATACGCTCTTGAAAATGCATAATTGTAATATTGAACAACTTCAAAATTCTCAATGGAGGTCAATGAAAGTTGATATTTATGGCACTTTAAAAAGGCAGGTCTACAATTTTGTCTCCTTCCACCCCTTTTGTGTTATTGTTGGATGTTGTGGGAGTTATTCTGTGGTTGATGTGTGAATGAGTAGGTTTATATGTACTGTGTGGTTTTGCTATGTTTAACAAAAATCCAATAAATACATTTAAAAAAAAAAAGAAGTTTAGTAAATTTTGATTTCGTGGTGACATTTAAGGCCACGATATACTTCAAGCGAAATTGAAGAACGAACCGGTGTGACGTCAGTTTGAACAAAATCACGGCAAAAGTTTTTTTGGTGTTCATTTTGGTGTTTAAAACAGCTTTCCGGAAAAGTTCGCTCCGGCTGGTTAACACCTTCAAACTACCATTAGTCTGTGGGGATTATATAATAGGTAGGTGTGGCTCTGAGGCTCCGCATTCTTTGACGGGGAAATCTTCTCCGGTTAATTTCTTCTAATCAGTCCGTCGAGGTGTAAAAACATGAACACACTGGACGCTTTAAAGTAGAAGTTGTAATTCTAATTGAAAGAGACACTGACACTGTTTTTCATGTTTAATACTGTAAAGCGGTTTGATTTATGCAATCTATTATATAAAAGTGGTATATAAATAAACGTGACGTGACTTTACTGGAGTGCCGAAATGCACAGCTTGTGCAAACATCACATCGCTATGATCAGATGCTTTCTTAACTACTGTTTTCTCATCGCTGTCATTTTTGTTGTTTATTTTGTTATTGAAAGTAAAGCGCGCAGCACATATTAACAACACGTTCATTTAAACACACTCTCAGCAGTGTGGGTGGCATCGGTATGTTCACTATAACATTATATCGCTGTTCACGTGTTTCAAACTTCTTTTTCCCCCAAAGTGAAGAACGAAAAACAACTTCGCCGTGAGTATTTAAGGGGCCTTAAGGAGAGAAACGTGAGAAAAATTACTGACGATCCACAGCTCCACCGGACGCAGCTGAGCCCATGCCTCTGTTCTGGATCTGATACACAGGTTGAGTTGGCCGCTGACCTTCCCTCTCCAGTTTGACAGTTCCTGCACCTGAGGCTGAAGGAGGCACATCAGGAGTGTTCCCAGGTTTCCCCCCTTCATCTCTGGTCTTAATGAGCATGATCGGCTTTTCCAAAGACGCGGCTCCAGTCGCTGGAGCACTTGGTTTTGACTGAAATTGAACCAAGACAATATTATACATCAGTAGTTATATATACAAAACAAACCTAAGCAAGAATGAACTATTCACTTATATTGTTTGCTAAATTCTAAATTATATTTATACACTTATTCGCTCTCCAGGAGGTTTAGCAAGAATAATGGGGGTCTTCTGTAGAAGAGGTCCTGTAGCTTCCTCACTCCCATCCTGAGAATACATGATAATAATATCATACAAATCAACATTTCAGCAAGTTTTTAAAAACGCAAAGGAGAGCTAGGGGATCAATATTAATAAATGTATAAAAATAAACAAATAATAAAAAATAAGATTAAAATAAATAATAGTTTTGAATAAAATAAATAAGTATTTAATTATTTAAATCAATAATAAAACAGATTAAAGTATAGAACAAAATAAAAAATATTTTAATAAATAATACATCTAAAAATGCATTATCAGTAACGTTAGGAAAAAAACTATCTACATTTTTCACATTTATAATATTAATTATACATTTATAATATGTTTAACTCATCATTCAAAAATCATGTTTAGGTAGACAGCTCCTGTTTTGGTACAGAATCTCACCCTGCGCTCACGGGGAACGTAGTCTCGATCCCGACTGGGGCCGGAGAGGTTTTGTCCAGGCGGTCCTGGATCTCGGTCTCGCCGTCGTCTCCTCCTTCTCCCCTGTCCGTACAAACCGGGCTGACTGTGACCGGACTCAGACATGCTTGCTTGCTTGCTTGCTAGATACTACTACTGAGTGCTGGACTTCTTACTATTATGACTATTCTTGCAAAGCTTGGAAAGCAGTTTATTAATCTTCAAAACGAGTATTTGCCATTCTAACTTTTATAGTGTTAATAAGGCAGGGCATTACATATCAAAACATATTAATAACTAATAGCTCACATGTTCGGACTGTCGACAGCCTTTACTTACTAATAAAATGACTAATGGCTCATTTATATTTCTTCTACAATATTGTAGTACCGGTATTTAAAATGAAGATGTCAGCGTCCACAGATTCCAGACTGTTGTCGGTACGAACCTGAAAATAGGCCGATGAGGAAACGCAATGTCGGTTTTTTCGTTCCGATCATTTGGTTCAAAAAATCGCATGGGCAGTCATAAAATAGGATTGTATAGTCTAATATAAATATAACATAGTTATATAAAATTTTATTTATTTATTTATTTGTTTGTTTGCCCAGCAAAGCTCTCTTGGACTGTTAAGCATACAAAATAATATATATATATATTTTAAATTTTAAATAATAAGTTTTTGCCAGATTCATTCAAACTTGCATTTTTAAGATTCAATGGCCATTTCATTTTTTACAGAAATAAATATTAAATGAAAACAAATCATATTACGACAATAGAAAGAATTCAGTGGCCTATATGACACAAAGTCTCAGCATCAGTCACGCATGTCGTTGTGCACACAAGCATCATTACAAAAATTTGTTTAAAAAATGTCAGCGTCACTGAAAAATGCAAAAATAGGGAAAAACTAAACATGTCATGTAACCATTACATTTGCATTCTTATAAAAACGTATAGTTATAGGATAGGACAAGCCATCTGTGATATACTGTATGTATGAGTGTGACACATTCCATGTATGTATAAAAGTATAAATAAATATGTATTAACTAAAAAATGTCTCACTTCATATTAAGTGTCTTTGACTATGTACTAGCATTTAAATTCATCATTTGATACAATGCACTTATTGTGTAGGCCTTCATACGTGTTTTACACTGTACACATATTTGAAAATCTACCTGCATGTAATTACAGCTGTAATTAATTTCTGTAATTACATCTATAATTACTCTGTTGACCCTTCCCTTGCACCTTAACCCACCCTTAAACCTAACCATACACCAAACCTAACCTTACCCATATCGCACCTCAGCAGCAACACATTTTTGCAATATAAACAAGAACACAATAAGTACATTGTACCTAAAAAAATATGTAAACACATAAAGATACCTCTATAAAGTGTAAAAAAACAAACAAAAAAAACTTTCTACAAGCCTGAATTTTAGACTTATTTAAACTTAGTTTTAATTTGTAAGTTATGAAATGCAGTGCACTAGGTGACGTTTTAAAGGGAAAGGGTGATGAATGTGTTATTGACTTTATATGTAATTAATCTTTTTTTCAGGGGAACAAAAAAGTAGATATTTTGAAGTATGTATCAGCGATTTGTCCATATAGTGAAAGTCCCAAACAAACACTGGACCTCACTGACCTTCATTTCATTTCATTATATCCCTTTCACAATATACAGTATAAATACTTCACAACAAGGTTCAAGTTGTTAACGTAATCCATAGGTTTCATGACAATGAAAAATACTTTTAAATTGATCATTTATTAATTTGTGAAAATATCTTTCACTAAAAACAAAAACATTCCAAGTGAAAAAGTTAATGTATTAAAACACATACATTATCATCAACCAATATTATATTTATTCAGTTATATTTATCAAGATTAATAAATGCTGTAAAAAAAAAAATGTCCATGACACCATAACTGATGTTATCAAGCTGAACCTTACAACTTTTCCTGTATGGCTGCTTTGAAACAATCTGTATTCTGACGGGACTTTACTTTTCCAACATTTTTACTTATTTTCCTCCTTGAGGTCCAGTTCTGACAGAGGATATTTTCTTTGCATTCGGCTTAACAAATGTACTTCCTGAATGAAATCAGGCAGATTGTTTTAGTGCTTGCTTGCTTGCAATGATCCTTGCTGCAATGCAAATCAAGCCTGTGGAAATGCATAAGAACTCATCCTGGCAAGCTGACATCCTTCACTCAGTCCAACTATGGCACTGCACATCGCTCTGCTTCTCACCTGTGTCTTTTTCTCCAAAGGTAAAGTGTGCACAGTCTATTTTAAATGTGTACTATTTGTTTCTAGCTGCTCAACTTACTCTGCATGTTTGTTTATTTAAATAATATACAAGATACAAATAGGCATTCCTGTGTAAGATTGCTGCTTCCTTTTGTAAACAAATTCACACTGTATTATTTCAATGTATTATTTATATAATTTTTCAGCACTGACACTGCAGTGTAATGGATGTCCGACAGGCCTACCAGGAACATGCATACAAAGTTTAATAACCTGTCCATCTCGTTGTGGCTCCAAGACCACAAACGTATACGCATGTAAGAATAACATGATTCTGAAAAATGTGTAAGTTAGGGTTTTTCTTACTGAAGGGGTTTTAATGTTGGTCTTTGTAGATGGCAGAAAAATAGGCAGTAGCAGCACGAAGACCTGCGGAGATGTGTGTGTTAATGGGAGCATGAGTTCTGGACAAAGCAAAGTGACCCTTAACTCCCAATGCTGTAATGCAGAGTTATGCAACTCTCAAAATGCACCAGGTTAGTGAGTATGAGGTCTTTTTTTCTCTTGACATTATTTTATATTATTAGTAGTTTTTTTATATTAATTTATACTATTTATAATTCATATATATACTCAAGATGTTATAAGAGGTTGAGGTAAATTTGATTTATTTCATCACCATTTATTTATGTAACCTGTACAGACTTGCCACAACAGTCTCTAAACGGGAAGCAATGTTTCACCTGCAATGGCACTGACTGCTCAAAACCGTTGGCTTGTGAGGGTGATGAGACTCAGTGCTTTATTACTACAGGTGAAGCGCTTTTTTATTAAATGTTTCAATGAATCTATGCATAGACAGAATACCACTGCAAATGATTGGTAGTTTTTATGTAGGACATTAAACTTTACACCAGCTCTTCTTTTCTCTCAGTTGACATCAGTGGCAAGAAGGAGACCACAAAAGGATGTTCAAGCAAGATGTTCTGTGGGCTCAACGCAACACAATCTCTGGGATTACCCGTTCAGGGCTTTGGCTTTGGCGTTTACATGAAATGCTGTGAGGGAAACCTGTGTAACGCTGCTCGTGGCTTGAGAGTGTATTTTGTGATGCTGGTACCTCTTCTCTCTCTGTTTGTGTTCTGATACATGATTTCAACAACCAACAATTTCCTTTGCAAAACATTTGTAATCTAATGCAATGACTTCAATACATTTTAATGTTTGGTTTGGTTTTGGGACCAGTTTCTTGTGTTTTGGAAGTTGGCTGTCTGAATAAGCCTCCGGTGATTCACAACAAGTTTTTTTTTTTTTTATCTGTCAATAAACAGGAGGAGATGGAGACCTGATGGTGGAGGAAATTGTATAAGAAACACTTATTTACTTTTTAAACTGTTCAAAATGTTCTTGTTTTTCATGTGACCATCTTTATGTATAACTTTTGTAAATAGTTTCATAGCATTCTACACTGTAAAAAAGAAAGAAAGTTGCAGCTGCCTTAAATTTTTAAGTACAATCAACTTGGATGTTTAAGTCATTTAAACTTAAATTACATTAAACTGACTTAAATGAGTTGAATCTTGTATAACTTAAAAAAAGTTGAAAATTGCTTAACTTATTTTAATGAGTTAAAGCGATGTAAAATCATATGTTGTCATAGCTTATTGATCATAACGTTTTTACAGCGTACCATTAGCAATATATAGCTAAAATGCTTATTGTTATTAGGGGAAACTACAAAGCTAACCTATAGTTTCATAAAAATTCTGGAACTGTATGGGGCTAAAATAGATGATTGTAAAAATTATTAAATTTCATTTTATTATATTTCATATTTTTAATAGTTTTGGTTCAAAAACAGTATGATGAGGATTAATGGTGTAGTGCCTTAATTATATAGAGAAAGAAAGAAAGAAAGAAAGAAAGAAAGAAAGAAAGAAAGAAAGAAAGAAAGAAAGAAAGAAAGAAAGAAAGAAAGAAAGAAAGAAAGAAAGAAAGAAAGAAAGAAAGAAAGAAAGAAAGAAAGAAAGAAAGAAAGAAAGAAAGAAAGATAATAAAAATTGTTTTGGATAAAGGGAATACAAAAGTTTGTGAACCACTGCTTTAATATATATATATATATGTATATATATATATATATATATATATATATATATATATATATATATATATATTAAATACAAAGCAATCATGTACAGATTGTGTTTGTGATGATTACTTTGCTTTTATGGTTTTATAGCAAAAAATGTAACAATGATCTACTTTTTTGTCGACACCAACACTGTCTATACCAGCATTTCCCCCCTTGTAATTCAGTCATTTTCTGTTAATACCTACAGTCATACAACGAACACATGTAGTGCATGTATTGTACAATAAAAACGTAAAATAACATAAATTCTCCATCTCTCCCTCCCTCACACACATATACATTCTCATACCATGGTATCAATCAATAACCCAACAATTTTCAATTCTTCAGATTCATTGTAAAAACTAGAAAATTATAGTTGTGACACGTTGGCAACTTTTTTGTTGTTGTTGAGAGAACATCAGAGTATCAGTTTCAGCATGTTTCATATTTCTGAGGGATGTAGTCTCCTGTCCCTCCCTTCTCATGTCAGTCTGTCTGAGCTCAAATCAAAATGGCACAGTTTACCCTCTTTATTCTTATGAGTACACTTTTCTACAAAGGTAATTGTTGGAATTTTTTTTTCTTTTTTACACACACTTTAGTATTTAGTACTAAGTGTAAATTATTTCGTAGGCTTTGCTGTATCAATGTAGGCCTAGAAATTAACATCAATAATGTATTTCCTTAAGATACTTTGCATTATGCCATATTTTCTGAAATTATATGCTTTGACCATAGTTTTCTAAAAGAGCGATTTATTTTTAAATGTTTTGTTTGTTTAAAATTGCAGTGCTTAAAGATTTATTTAGACTTGTTCCATTTCAGTAAATTGCCTAACCTGCTATCAGTGCATTCCTGAGACGTCAACTAAATGCGTTGAAACTAAAGTAGAGTGTCCTGTCGGTCAGTGTGGGACCATGAAAACCACATCTTATACAGGCAAGTTTTGTGGCAGACTCAATATTTAAACTGAAATTCACCGTGTCTTATGTTTTTAAAACGAGTCCAATGTAAATTTCTACTGTAGGAAACAACAAATTGGCTGACATGATTATGAAGAACTGCTCCGTACCTCAACAATGCGTGACTGCATCTGTAAACTTTGGAATTACAAATATAGTTATGAACAATGAGTGCTGCGGCACTAATCTGTGCAATAATAACCAAAGTGAACCAGGTACGTATAACACAAGAGACAATATGTACATAAGAGTCAAGCATATGTTATTGCTTTAATTAAGAGTAGGCTACACAGCATATGTTGCTGCTTTAATTATGCATATTTCATAGAATCACCCACTAGGATCCCGAATGGAATAGATTGCTACACCTGCAATGGAGAAGACTGCTCATCACCTTTACCTTGTGTTGACGATGAAGATCATTGTATCAAGGCAACAGGTACGATAAAACACAATAAAAGAGAGTATAGTGAGATAAAAATGGTCATAGTCTGAGTAAACAAAGCTCATTTGAATTGTCAATATAATTATTTCCAAACCACGCTTAAAGTGCTGAAAAGGGACTGAACGCATTTCACTGTTTTAAGGGATTTTTTAAAATTCTTAATTAGATTAGATTATTTATATTTAATTGTGTGTGTGTGTGTGTGTGTGTGTGTGATGTTTAAATACACACACACACACACACACACACACACACACAAATTGTTTTCAAAAATGTTTCTTGAGCACCAAATCAGCAAAGATTTCTGAATGATCACGTGACACTGAAAGCTCCTGATTTTTTTTTTTAAATTAAAATACTAAAATCGAAAACAGTTATTTTAAATTGTGATACGTATTTTTTATTACATAAATTGAGAATTCTTAAAAAATATATACAAACCCCAAAATTTTGAAAGGTATTGCACATCAGATTACATTAGAAAACTGAGGTTAGATTGGTTAAATATAGGAGATATAATATGAGATTAAGGGAATTTCTGACATAACATGTCATAGGAGAATGCTCTGGGCGATGGAACGGTTTTATTTTTCAAAGGCTCACTGCCCCAAATCATATTTTCTGTGACATTGTTAACATCAACAACAGTCATCATCAGTTGTTTGATCACATTTCTTGTTGTTTTCTTCTTAAAATAGCATGACTGTGTGATCCTCTTCATTGCCCTGAATTTATCCCACAATTTTATCAACAGTCAATATTGATGGACAGAAGATAATAATGAGAGGATGTGCAACCAGAAGTTTCTGTAGCGGTGACCTGTCCACCCAGATCGGCCAGACCAGCACATCATCAGTAGACCTGACCTGCTGTGAAGGACCTCTCTGTAACAGCGCTCAAGCCGTCACCGTCTGGTTTCAGCTGGGGCTTCTGATGTATGCCATCGTACAGATGTCACACTTCTGTCATGATGCTCTTTGAGGCTTCAATTCTAATAAATAAATAAAATCCAACCAACATTTTTATATGTTGGTTGTACTGATTAATTACAATTGCTAATACAAGTATGCTGTTGTATTTTGTATATACTGAAATTTTCATTTAAACATTTTTGCCTCTTGCAATATTCACAAAAAAAGCTGTAAGAAATCTGCAAACAATGGCCAGTAACTTTTTTACATGTATAATTAACACAGCTTTGGTTAGAACCTGTTCTTCAGAAACTGGTGTGTAACAGAGTAGCCTACTTGTTTGCTGATATTTTCCTTTTAAGAGGGTGTAGATTTTCTAAATGGAATCCAGTTTCAATATACTAATACATTGTTACACAAATCTTTTATGCCTTGGGTCTCTGAATTGTCTTGGACAAAGGAAATGAAATCTGATAATCTCAAAGCATCTTGTTTCACCTTTTTTTTGGTGCTTTTGCCGACTTTATTATATTTGCACACAGATACCTTTCAAAACCTTGGGGATGGGTGAGACGATTTTCAAAGCCACATTTATTTGATAAAAAAAATACAGTAATATTGTTAATTATTATAATTTAAAATAAGTTTTCTAATTTCATATATTTTAAAATGTAATATTCATGTGATGCAAAGCATATGAATTTTCAGCATCATTACTCCAGTCTTCAGTCACATGATCTTTCAGAAATTATTCTAATATGCTGATTTCTTATTATCAGTGTTGGAAATAATTGTGCTCCTTTATATTTTTGAGGAAACCATAATTTTTTCCCACCAGTATTTAAGTAAAAGACTATTTTTTGATCAATTTAATGCATCCTTGCCGAATCAAAATGTTACTTAAAATTACAATCTTGCAGACCCCAAACTATTAAACAGCAGTATGGCAAGCAACTGCATTTCTTAAAACATTTTTATTCTATATTTATGATTCTTTTTAGGTTAAATTTGGATTTTAGCATGCCAAAAATACATTTCTCTGAATTTTTACAAATCTTAATATGGCCAGAAAAAAACCCACCACAGAGTAAAAACATTGTGTTAAATTATTTTTTTTATCCACTTACATGAAATTACATATTTTCCCTCCAAATAACATTTATGCTTGGGTGTTCTGTATGAAAATTCCAGAGACATGACACAAAGCTAGCCAGCCCAACAGTACTCCCTTTCCTCCCCACATTAACTACTTCATAGCCACATGCAAATTAGGCAAGTATCAAAAGAAATAAATGGAAAAAGGAAAAACAAAATAAACCATTTTTGGAAAATTGAAATCACACTTGTATTTCCTACAGCGCTGCTTGATCAGTCAATACGGTAACAGTATCAAGCTTATGTGCTCTTTGTTCTTAGGGTCCTCTATACCTCGTAATTAACAGGGAATAATAAGTAAATGCCATTTGCAGGGCACCAAATGCCTGGAATAAGAAACTTGAAAGTGACAATAAATGGAATGTAACCTCTTTTTTTTGCCCATCATTTTACATGACGTGCGAGCGAGCAGCTCACTATTTGACGTGTGACGCTGCCGTTGCTACTTTCCTAGCTAAAGACTAGCACTGCTATCCCCATCTCTACTCGAAGACGAGGGCTGTTTATAATGCAGATGCTAAATTGCAGGTGTACATAATGACCATGACAAATACACACTCCTTGACAGAGATTTACATACAGTATACAAATAACAAAAGGGTTTGACTTGCAACTTTGCATGAGCTGAGAACTTGCCCTCACCCACATTCTTCCACGCTAATGCGAAAACCTAGAGCTCCCCAAGGAGAAAACAAGGTTAACAGCAGACAAAACTCATCCCCCTCCCAGCCCCAACCGCATCCCAACGCCCGCCCGCCCCCCATTTAACCCCTCCCATTACACAAATCCTTAGAAAAAACCCCCACAATGACATGGAAGGAAGAAAGCAAGGAAGGCGGCGAGAGTAAAAGAACTAAAAGAGACAGAAGTCGACAATGAGGTGGTCTCAGTGTTGATGGTGAGCTGGAACGATGGCAGGTGAATAACAGGGGAAGGACGGACAGAGTGAGACTCAGTTTTCCCGGCCCTCCTCGGTGTCTTCGCCGTCGCCCTGGTTATCTGAAGTCCACAGCTGAAAAATAAGAGGAGACTAGTTAGTCATGAACACCTAAACACCTGCTTCTATTAAGAGAGTTATGTCCAAAAAAAAAGGCTGAATGCCAAAACACTTTCATATAAACTTTGGGTTGTCAATTAAAAAATATTAAATTAATGATATAAAAATTATATAAAATACAATTAAAAATTATATACATTTGACAGCAACTTGCTACCTTTAACAATAATAAATTCATATCAAGTGCAAACATGTATAACACGTACAAATGAGTAAATGTGTACTTTGTCATTTATAATTATTATATTTATTATTTTTTTAATGTATTTATTCTCTTAAGCTAAACTTGTTCTCGCATTTTTTAGTCTTATTTTAAGTCTTAAGCTAAATTTGTTTTTATACTATCCCTTTAAAGTTAAATAGCAAATATTGGTGCGATTTAATTGTTTTTTTAATAAAAACTAATAAACATAATTCAAAGACATTTACATTATTGTGGCAGCTAATTGTACTTTATATAACACACACACACATAAAATTGTGCACCCCTAATATATATTATATATAGAGAAGTGAAACATCTGTATAAATATATCAGAAGTTTTATATATATATATATATATATATATATATATAGCACCTCTGATATATTTAAACATACACATTTTACTTCTGTAAATATATATATATATATATATTTTTTTTATTATTATTATTATTATTTTTTTTAGGGCTGCACGATTAATCGCAATTAACATGAAATATTTATTTTATTTAACCTGCTACTAAAGATAAAACTCACTGTCAAGTTGTCCCGCAGTAGCTGCATGATCAATGTGCTGTCTTTGTACGATTCTTCATTCAGTGAATCGAGCTCTGCAATGGCCTCATCAAAAGCCTAGGAGAAAAAGATCAACCAAAAACAAGATGAGTAATACATACGAGTATATTCTGTATTCATAATATAATTGTGGGTAACACTAATATTTGTCTCATTCGCCTGTGTGCGTGTGGGTGTTAACCGTACCGTTTTGGCAAGCTTACAGGCCTGCTCGGGCGAGTTGAGAATCTCGTAGTAAAATACGGAGAAATTGAGCGCAAGGCCCAGACGAATGGGGTGTGTGGGCTGCATCTCTGCCTTGCTGATTTCAAAGGCATCCCTGTAGGCCTCCTGTGAATTGGCAATGATAGCTGGAGATACAAAGAGGAAAAGTATATTTATGTAATTGCATGCATTCAGGATTTGATAATTAAAATACAATTAGTTTAAGCTTATTTAATATTGTGTCTGCAATGTTAATATATATATATATATATATTAAAAAAAAAATTAATCTCATTTGCAATCATGCAGATTTAATAAATGTTTGATTTTGGACAATTTTTGTAATATTTTTTAATTAATAGACAAAAGAATAAAGTAGAAATGAAAAATGTAACAACATATAATTATATTGTAATTTTATATTGCAACAGGAGAAAAAGAGTATTTTCGGTCATAGTCCTGTTTGGTAAACCAGCCCCCCCATTCAAATACAGAACGTCCGACCCGTTATCTGACAGCAGCACTTTAACAATACAAAACTTTTGCCTAGGCCTACATGATGTGAACAATCTGCCCATATTGGCACTTTTGAACAAATCACACAATAGGCTATACAGACGCTTAGAGGTCTCTATAAATTAAAAGAACATATAGCCAAATGAGCCTTTACTGTCATATAAGGGATATTTTAGCAGATTCACTGCATTTAAATATGGTTGTCTCTCCTGAAACTCTGCACTGTACAGGCTACGTGGCCATTGGTCCTCTTAGCAGCACAAAAAAATTAAATGTTTTATTCAAATTGTGAATAGATTATATATCCTACAGTAAGAGAGCAAAAAGCGCTCCCTTTATGACTGAAGATGTCAATCACTGCCAATCGAGTTGTAATTAGAAACCTTTGACGATCTTCAGACTGCAGAGCATTAACACTAATAAGCACCTGCCTATCAGTGGGTACCGAATTGAGTCGAAATAGTCTTGGCTATTGGGCCCGCAGTCTGACCGTGCCTATTGATTCCCGACCCGCACTGCAAATGACCATGTCAATATTATTCCACCCGTTACATCAAATATTAGCAGTTGTCCTGTGCAGGACTCTGTTTTCAGATGACATTGACAATACTTTCTGCCCTAATCCAGTGAAATGACATTTTACATTAACATTTTCCACTAGGGGGCATTCAAGCCAAACTTTGAAGTTATTATGATTAAAGTACAGTAGGCATGGTTTCACAGACAGGGTTTAGACTAACCCAGGATTAGGCTTAAAATCAATTAGGACATTTAAGTAGTTTTTTTATAAACGTACCTTAGAAAAAAACGTGCCTTTTGAGACAGAACAATAGCACTGCCACTGACATATTTTAAGATATGTCAGTGCAAGTTGCTTTCAGTTCAAACAGCATTTTAGTCCTGGACTAAGCTTAAACCTTGTCTGTTAAACCGGGGGCTTATTATTTTTTAATTGTAACCTTATTTAAATCATCCCAGAAATAATTTAGCAATCTGCCAACTTTCAGTTCATCTCACTCAAAACTTTTAATTAGTGTTTTTAATTTTAATTTTTTAGTCGACGGTGAGTACTAAGGATCTGTATTAGATGGTGTCACTGAGACTTCCAAACAACCGATTCAAAAAAGGGAATTATATTCCCTTTCCGTCTTAAAATGGAACAGGAATGTGACAAGCTGTGAAGCAGCGCTGGAGCTCCACCCACCCACACATGGGCTCGCATTCATTCAGTAAGGTGGGTGGATTCACATGTCTGCACCTGTTCCAATGAAGGAAGGAAATCAGACTGCTAACCATTTCCCTCGTAGACCCTCCTTTAATTTTATTTTCTCTCTCTCTCTCCCATAAGTGAATCCTA